TGGGTAACATGTAATATGTAATAATGTTGAAACTAAAAGATTTTTAGGTAATCTGTGTTCACCAACAGATGAAGACCCTATAATCCCCCCCCCCTACCCACCCTCCCACCCCCTTAGCAGCACCCCTAAAAAGGCGATAAAATAAAACCGCGAGGCTTAGTGAAGAGTGCTCGAACTCGGCCATGAACACACAGACTCAACGGCAGAGAGTTGTTAACGGGCAAAGGGAAGTAACATTATTATCTTGTTATTATTTCAGACTATTACTGATTTGGTCCCTTGGAGTTTCATTCGGAAGGGATTTTTTTTTTAAACAGGGAAGTGGACTGCAGAATATCAAGATATATTTTCTGAAACCTGATTTCAAAAAAAATATCTTAATCAAATACACAAGGCCTAACACAGCACGTTAGACTTTTTCGATGAATCTGCTGAAAAACGGTTTGTTCAGTAGTTTTGAAGTTTAATTTTGTAGTTTGTTTCTTTGCCGAATCCATGTTTTTTATCTAGAACGTACAAAATATTCACTCGTAAACGATTCAAAATTACCTTTCGGGAAAAAGAATTGTCTCCAGGAACGCTACAAACGAAGGTATGGATGGGATCGAAAGTATTCGAAAAGAAAGAGCTTTTTAATTTTGACTTCTTGACCTGCTGTTGTTTCCTTTGTTTATGCTACTTAATAAATCAAAACTAGATTTATATTGTAAGCCTCGTAACGCATGCCGACTTGTTGCAGACGTTTGCTTGAAATGATGATCTGGTGATATTGATAGCCTAGATTTGGGCAAGACTTACTCTTGAGTCGTGGTGAGTGACTTCGTTGTCACATGATGGTTGATCTTTGTGTACTTATCTCACGTCAAAGTTTAGCAGTAGCATGATCGAGATACGAAACGGATAAATGTTGATAGACCAATTTGAAGTGTATGAAGCCGGCGAGAAAGTCTAGTCTAGATCTAGATCTAGATATTCTAGCTTAGATTCTAAATCTAGATCTAGTAGTCAGTAGTAGTAGATATGTCCTATCTAGATATAATATAGATCTAGAATCTAGATCTAGAATCTAGATCTAGATCTAGATCTAGATATCTAGTCTAGTAGTAGATCTAGATTTCTAGATCTAGATCTAGACTAGATCTAGATAAATCCAGATCTAGATCTAGAATCTAGTAGGTTAGTAATAATAGTAGGCCTACTGAACTAACTTCCTACAGTTACAGTACTGTGGATTTGCATGTTGTGTGGGGATGGGAGGTAGCCAAGAAACAGAAATCTAGATCTAGATTTAGATCTAGATATCTAATCTAGATCTTGGGTCTTTGTAACTTTATTAGATCTATCGTGAGATCACTAAATCTAGAATCTAGATTCTAGATCTATAAATCAAAGTGCCTACAGATGTCTACTAGATATAGATCTATATCTAGATCTAGATTTAGATTCTAGATCTAGAGATATAGATCTAGCGAAGTGGCTTGCCGTACTTAAGTAATAGAGTCGTAGCCAGTCTATCCGTACTTAGATCTAGGTTTGGCCCTATCGACTCAAGCCTGTTAAGTACACAGGTCTCAGATCTAGATCTAGATCTAGTAATTATTCAGGTTCAAATACATGCAAGTCAGTAAGGCACCTTTTGGTTTTGTCTGAAATACAAATACTTTAGGCATTGCAAACTAAAAATTTCATTTACAATTCAGTAGGCCTATTTTTTGTAAATGGTGAGTCTAGCCATCATAATAAGAATAAATACGGCTAGACTGCGGTTACGGCTAGCCTCTTCCAGCTAGAAATCTAGATCTAGCTTAATACGGACTCGAGTCCTATTAGATTTTTTATCTATTCAGACTCGAATCCGAATTATAGAGTCTAGATCTAGATCTAGTCTAGATTAGATCTAGAAATCTAGATCTAGATTTGATCTAGATCTAGATTCTAATTGGTAAGATTTTATATCTAATAATCGGACTTTGGTCCGAAAAAAAAATGATAGATTTCTCTATATGTTTATTGGGACTCGGTTTCTGTGAGTTATGTAAGTATAAGGCGGTTACATATAATATATACCTGTCGTCGGGGGACTTTACATAAACGCAGTGGCCGTGAACGTAGTTGGCAGTAGAGCTGTACCCCGGTAGCAAACCCGCTCGTGCTCGCAAGCCCCTAGTTCAAGTCACTAGCCTCAAATCACGAGGTCAAGTCATCAAATCAAATCACCAGCATGATAAGTTGAATCTAGTCTAAGCCTCAAGTCCACACCAACAAGCGATCCGCGAAGCCACTCATGTCAGACCACCCCACCCCCCCATCCTCCCACCCTGCTTGCTCTCTGCGGAGCCACTTACGTCAGAAAGAGGGGGGGGGGGGAAGACCCCGCTCACAGTGTCACTGCGTGATTAATCGAAGGCTTGCGAGCAGTGGACAGCCGTCAAGTCTCAAATCCCGCTCGCAGCACAGCAAGACACTTTATAATCCTATGATTTTATTTGCCTGCTTGCAGCCTGGCAAGACTGTCCGCGAGTCACAACACACTAGAAGTTCCCCCCAGGTAGCGAGCGGGGGAGGCAAAGCAAAACACAAGCCTGCTTGCTAGCCGTCCGCTGCGCGCAAGCCGTCAATTAATCGAGCAGACTCCAGCTCTAGTTGGCAGGCTAGGTTCACAACGCCCTGAATGCAGTTTGTAGGCGCTGTTGAGGCTACGTTCATGGCACTCAAGCTTCGTTTAGACGGAGCGCCCACTGCCGGTTTAAAAAAGTAAGCTGGTTTTAGTCACTGACTTTTGGCCTGCTTCAAGCGTTCCATCCCGTGAGAGGAAGGAAAACAAAGCAGTGATCCTTGACCGATCGACCTTTCGTCGTTTTTCCTTACACTGAGCCCTGGCTCAGAGCTCGCCAGTGTAAGGAAGAACGATTGAACTCTCAATTACGCAACAACGCATTAGGATGTATATGACTAAAATGTATGCCTACCAAGATCTATTGCCCTATCTCGCGTTCGGGCGAGACATACTTAGGCGCGACCTTGTGTTAGCACGTGACTGCCCGTGATATACGAGTGCCATTTTGTCTGCGGACAGTGTGTGTGTTTGAGGGAGAGAAAGAGAGAGAGGGAGAGAGAGAGAAGGTGGGG